ATAATGAATAAAGCCAAAATATAATAGTTATTCTAAGCTCGAATTCTTAAACCCTGAACCAAAGTTCTGGGTTTGGTTCCCCAGCAGAGTCGCCAGAGCTGTCACACCTCCCTTTTTTACATACCACCCCGAAGGATAGTATATAAGGGAGTTTTTCCAATTTAAGTGACATTATTCGAAATGGAATTATTTATTTATCAGAGTCGCCACTTGGGATAGTTTATTTGGTGTCCCAAGTCACCGCTTTATTTTAAATCCCAAATCGAGGAAATTTCGACTTTCCTTTTGAAGTCTGCAAACCAGAAATTCTGAATAAGGAATTATGTTAACCAGAGGGAAGGTGTTAGGCACCCCCAGATTCCGTGGTTCTAGCACGGTCGCTTAAACTATTATCAAATGTTTCCTTTTGCTTTAAATTAGAATCAAATGTTGTTTTGTAGAGCAGCACCAAAACGTGTACACAAACATTCCTCAAAGTCATAAGAACCAAGTACACAAACATTTGGACTCCCTAGTAGAACAAGCGCCTAAGCCTGATTTCATTCATTAATCCAATCCAAAAATATTTAAACAAACAATTGACAGCGTTTTAAGAAATCTGAAAAGAAAAACCCCACCCCATGACTCTGAATTCTCTTTTAAAAGCAGTCCTTGAAACTATAAAGTAAAAGATTCATTTCAAACACTCCTACAATACACAATGTTCATGGCAAGGAAGATATCTCACAGTATCTTTCAACAGAACACATCGTCATCTTTTAATATTAGCCTCTTTACAGCTAGCTCTAACATGAGATTACTACCAAACCAGGTAACCTTGAATGATATCGCCAAAACTAAAGGACACTGAAGACAACATTCTTTTCGAATGAGTCTTTTATCTACAGTATCTTAAACACTCCCCAAATTGAATACAGGAATAACAAATCCCATCAGCTAATCTAGACATTAACTAAGGAGACAAAGAACTGAAGCTAAAAAAAATATGCAAAAGAAAAATAGAACTAGGCTTGTACAGAAAGAAACTGAAAACATGCTGTGAACTTTAGTTTTTCATTCAATCTTCAAATCAGGCCATCACATAAGGAAAAATTCAGAGAATTATGTACCTGGATATTGAAAGAGCAAAAATTGGAAAATCAGTAAAGAGTCAGCAGCAGAAACAGTCCAGCACCCAGCAATGAAACAATATTTCCAAATCAAATTCAAATCCAACTTTAAACAACCACGATTCAATCCATTTTCAATCTAGAAAGTAAAACCTTTGTTTTCTGATGATTTGAACTAAGATAATAAGATCAGAAGAACCAACAACTAAGCAGAATTTTCACTAGATTTCATGAAATTGCCCTGAATTTAGAGCTGTTCCATAATTTCTTCAAGAGAGGATGCCGTTCAGTGTTTCAGGTTTTTTTTTTTCTCTCCAGCTCTCTGAAAACCTCTCATTAGCAATGCCTTTATAGGCAAGCTATTAGGGCAGCCTTCAGGGTTCAACTTTTGCACTTTGCCCCCTTTTCAATTAATATTTTTGCTACTTGGTCCCTAAATTTCTGACTTGTTGGCCAAGTAAACCTATTTTCAGCTTCTAAGAAGCTTCCTAAGGCTGTTATTAAAAGATTGCCTGAGTAAACTACCCAAGTTACCCCTTAGATACCCTGTTATTACCCATGGCCTACCAAACGGGTCAAGTTGACCCATGGTCTTTGGGCTACTGCATCAGTAGGTTCCAACAGCCCGTGGGCTTCGTGAACCTTTGAAGCCCAAATTATGGTTCAACAGACTACAGGCTACAAATGGATAAGCCCAGAAGTCTGCCATTCCGGTATTAAAGAGAACTAACAGCAAAACAAAAGGAAAGGCCATTGATGCAAAGGCAAACATGAAATTAAAGATACTAATTACCCTAATTATGCTGATAATTACTAATAACCTAAATTTGAATCATGCAACGAACCAACTACTAACTAAAGAAAAGAAACGAATCATCAGAAACAGTTAAACAAAACAAAGGAAAATCAAAAAAAAGAAAGAAAAAAAAGGATGACAACTAACCAGAACAAATGACTCAAAAGGTGAGAGAGCAGGAGCCGGCCAGGATAGCTAAGTCTCTCAAAATCGAGCCAAAATTCGAATTAGCCAGAGCTTTCGAAAAGAAAACTTGGTTAACACGAATCTTGATTCGTATTTGAAATCCGGGAGTCAGAGAGTCTCGAACTACATAACTAGGGTCTTCTGATTCGAGATTTGAGGAGTTCCAGGGGGATTCGAAGGAAACTGAATGGAGATTTGGGGTGAGGAGGTTATGGAGCTTATGGGGTGTTATTTTGAGGCCGGTCAGGAGAAATTGTGGCGGCGCTAGGGTTCCAAGTTTTGATCGGATATTTGAGGGAATCTGGCCGGATTTGAGGGAAGGTGGTTGGATATATGAAAAGAGGGGAGTGAGGAGATTATTTGGTGTGATTTTGGGTGTATTTGGCCGCCGGCCGCCGCCGTGGGCGATTTCCGGCGGGCGGCGGACGGCGGTGTGGGGCGGCGTTACATTAGGGCTCTAAGGGGTGTTTGTGAGAGACGGTTTGGGGGTAGGGGGGAGTGTTTAGGACATATATATATTTATTGGGTCCCCAGTTCTGGACCGTTGGATCACAATGATCCAACGGTTGGGATTGAACACATACAAAAACAGGGTCGTTTGGTTATAAGGGGTGGTGGACCGGGTTGAGATGCGGTTTTGGCCGGGTATTTGTGGGGTTGACCGGGTATAAGGGTTTGGGCTGGCCCAAAAAAAATTGTTTCTTTTTATTAAAAACTTTTTTCTTCTTTCTCTTTTTTTTCATTTTCAAATTTTGTTAATTACAAATTAAAAATAAAATCTGATTTAATTCTAAAACAAAATCAATAAACTAATTGCTTCTCAAAAATTGATTAAGTCCTAAATTAAAAGAAAACTATAAAAAAAAATTCGAAAAATTAAAAAGTTAAAATGCAAAATGAACTATTTTTGTTATTTTCTTTCATTTTGTAACATTAATTAACTAATTAGCCTAAAAATATAAAATAGGACCCTAAATGCAAATGCAACATATTTTTGTATTTTTTATGAATTAAATAAATTAAACATGCACATAAAAATGCAAACAAACACGAAAATTATGCAATAATTCCTAAAAACCAAATAATTAAAAGAAAAATTCTAATTTTGGGAATTCTGTAGGAGTAATTCATGCGAGGCAAAAATCATGTGCTCACATTGGTGACCGAAAGTTTTATAGAGACACGTACTGATTGTACTTGTCCACCATTTTTGAAGAGATGCAGCATGCAGAAGTACACGAATTACCATATTTTGGCCCTCATATTTATCTCGTACAAATAATCATTTTTTAGATCTTTTAATTTTGTTTGCAAACTAAAAAATTATTTTGTGCCACGTTAACTTAGGAAATGGGGGTATCATAAGCCATTTAAAATGTTAAAATTAAAAAAAAAATATTCATTTTAATTTCTTACGTGTAAAAATAAATTTATTTGTAAAAAAAATCATATAAAACGAAAGTTTGTAAAAACTCACAAAATCATTTGATAATAACTAACACTATTTTTTTTTCATAAATTAGTGAATCCAAATTTTATGAATTAAAAAGTTCAAAATTTATGTCCACTATTTTGTGAAATAAAAAAAAGCTTCACACGCAAAATAAAGTTTTTTGTATCTATACGTAATAGTGGGTAAGAGTAAAGTTTTACACACTTTGCTCCTCAGACCCTATATACTTGTAGAAATATATTGGATTTGTTGTTGTTGTACATAATAGTAAAGTTAAAAGATTATTTTGTGTTTATTAAAGTAACTAAATTTTACCTATTATATAATAGTACTTAGTAAAGTGACAAACCATTACCCTTTATAACGGCAAAACATATAACAAGGTGACTTCATTATTATATAATAATTCAATTTCTTTAAGGTGATAAAAATGATTTTATGACTTTATTGTTATAGTAAATAACAAAATAGTCTCTTAACTTTACTGTTATAATGTATAAAATTTATTGATCATACATAAAATTAGCTCGAAGATGAAATATTTTCTTAATTTTATTTAAGAAACAGAGAACAGATAACAGCCAATTGGACGAAAAGAGTATACAAGTAAAGTTGAAAACAATTAGTGCAAATAAGCCTACCGTGAGAGTTATATCCGCCCCCAAGTGTGAAGTGGCCATCAAATCTATTTGGAAACTAAAAGATGGCCGTCCAAAAAATTCTTAAGTTTGAAGACAAAAGATTGATGTCAGGATTCAAAGAGATGTGAGCTGTAACATTTGTTCATTTTCGTTACGTTGAAGCGAGTTTTGGAGCAGCGGTAAAATTATTTTCGTATATGTAATTTATAAGTCATAGGTTTGAGTTATTAAATCAGTCACTAATGCTTTATTAGGGTAACCTGCCTACGTCACGCTCTTCAGGATGCGATCCTTAAAGTTGAATCTTGTGCTCTTCAAGTTAATTGTCTCAAAGTTGATCTTAGACAATGAGCAATGGAGTAATATAATGATCTTAATTTTTTTTTTTTATCAGAATCTCCCAGCTAGTCCATAAGAATATTTTCTTAAACTTAAACAAACATCTACTTTTCAAGGGTAGCATTTAAAATTGTTGAACCGAGTAATATTTAAAATAATAATCTTTGTAAATAAAATAAAAGGTAATAGTAGTATACCACCCAAAAGGCCAAAACAAATCCATTTTAGTTGTGCTAAAAATAAACTAGTTGTTGGGTGTGCCAACAAAGTCTTATATATTGGTAGCTAAAAAAATTGGGTATATTTAACCGATAGATAGACGGAGGGTATGTTTAACCTTGGCTAGTAGTTCAAGGGTAGTTTTGGCCCTTTTTTATTTATTTAATTGGATTGGACCGGTAATAAAATAACACGTGAAATTTAAATATTTTTTTAATGATTGGGGTACTTTTCGATCAATAGGTGGACGGAGAGTATATTTAGCCCTTGGCCAATAGCTCATGGGCAGCTTTCGCCCTTTTCCATTTAATTAATATACCAGCGGATACAATTTTTCACTCAACTGCTGTTATAAAATAAATGATTTTTGAAAAACAGATACTACATATAATTATATCTTGACAACCAAACCAACATATGCCTTTGGTTTATTCTGTTTTCCTTCTATACAATGAGAATCTTGAGCATTTCTTTCCTATTTCGATTGAAATCCCTTTAGTAAATAGTCTTGAAAGGCTTATACGTTTTGAGATCAAGAACAACTCCTGCTATAGAACCAACTGCTGCACCTATAGACACAAATAAACAAGCTGCACTTAGCATCTCAAGTCCTATCCATTGTTTTGTCCATCTTCCAATCTGCTTTTGCTTAATATACATTTCTATTGGGAAATATACAGTCAGTGGCCAAAATCCCAGTGCTCCTAATAATCCAACAACGTCGTTAAAGAATGGCAAAAGCATCGCTATGATTGTTGTTAATATTACAAAGATTGTTCTCCATACTACACGAAAGACGTTAAGTTGGTAAACGCCAACGAAAGGGATAGGAATGTCATGTTCTGCTGTTACAAAATTGCTCTTGGACCATTTTTTCGCGCTCCATTTCTCCACAAATGCAAAGAGTGGTTGACAGTAGACCTGCAGTAGTTCCAATGAATTCAAAATTCTGTTACTAGTACAATCGAGGAAACATTTGTAATCCTAGAACAGTCAAGTGAAATCCAATCTACAAAATAATTTGATCTATGGACAGGAATGCTCCAAACTTTTGTTGATTCAATTTACGGCTGTTTTCATTTTTTGCCCAGCGGCACAAAATAATTACAGGCAGTAGCCTAAGTTTAAAAAATATGCACACTGGTAAGGTGTATGATATGTATATTCTATCTATATTATATGTCTATTTATATTTAATATACAAAAAATATACATTTCCCGCGACCCCCAAAAGAAATTATCCCTTACATTTTACCGTTTATGTATTAGTGTGTTAATGAGCTGTTTACCTGATAAGCGCCAACAAGGTGAATGACAATAGCTGCATTTGCTATGTCGAGCAACCAATATGGATCGAAGAATCCAAAACCAGTGAGGAGATTTCCTGGAGCATCATCTCCAAAAGCAGCATAGCCCATACATCCACAGAGTAAATAAAAAACTGTTGTGATCGCGATGCTCAGAATACTGGCTTTTTTCATGGTTTTATGTTCTGCAGGAGGAGATTTTATTGTATCCTGCAGGAAAATTGGTAAGTTCATGTTAAAGTATATTCTCAAATACTACTGACCAAATGAATGAAGTAAAAGCTAGTTTGCGCAGACATGCAGAGCATCTCACGTTCACACAGGATCCGGAGAAAGACCGCACCCAACCTACCCTGATACAAGCATCAGTGGCTGATTCCACAGCTCGAACCCGTGACCTACTATGAATGAAGTAAAAGTTTGCGCAGACATGGTTTACCTGAATCTCAATAAGTATGATGGAGAAAGAATATGCAAAGGCAATTGCCCCTAGAGCTTGCAAACTCCTCCATAATTTTTGAGTGGAAGTTACAGTTCCAACATGTGTTACAGTACCAATACTAATTCCAGTAAGGCTCCCTTTGAAGCCTTTATTTTCTGTTACAGACAAAAGAAAGAAAAGGGTAAGTCTTTCTTTAGCTTATACAGTGAAGCCTAGCTCTGCCTTGTCAATTATGTGCGTGTTCCTAAAGTTTCTACTTACCTGACAGTAATAAGCAAAAATATTGAAATACAACCACAATAACTACGCCTCAGTTTCAAATAAGTTGAGGTCGACTATATGAATCCTCACTGGCTACATTATTCCATTCAAATCATCGCATGTCAATATTATGCAAAAACATTAAAAAGGGCAGCCCGGTGCACTAAGCTCCCGCTATGCGGGGGATCCAGGGAAGCCGGACCACAAAGGTGCATTGCACGCAGCCTTACCCTGCATTTCTGCAAGAGGCTGTTTCCGCTCACATGGCAGAAACTTTACCAGTTACGCCACGGCTCCCCTTCATTAAGCAAAAACATTGAAATAAAGAAATGTAAATAAGCATAAAGGAGTTCACCAGCAACTTTAGCAATTCCAAGAACAAGACCAATGGTAGAGTATGTGAAGGACATAATTGCAGCAACAATAGAGAGCCACCACACTTGATCAAAATCAGGGATCTGAGAGAACAAGATTTCAGTGACACCAAATGCTATCATATATCCATTACTAGACATATGGCAAGGATCTCTCCTATGACTCTTGTGGAAACAATTTGACCTTTTTATTGCCCTGCGAAATCAAAGATTATTAATTGAGTGCCAGACTACATAATTTTTTTTTTTACATTATCAGTATATTAATTTTAACTTATTATAATAGGAGCTTTGTGTTATTTTCCATGTTACGATATATCATTTTTCATGATGGTTAACTATAGTTATTTTTTGGGTGACCTGATAGTGTAACTTTTAAAAAAAAACGATTAGAAGTTAAACGCTATGTGAAAACATAAATACTTACAACATACTGACTGATGCAGCAATGGTGTATCCAATAGCCACGCCAAACAAGTTCAAGTACTGAATCAAGCCACACACTTTCACTTTCTTCCCTCCTAATAATAAAATTAAACAACTTCATCATCAACAACTTGTTAAAGACTTATAATTGAGGGAATTATAAAAGCTCTCTCTAACAATTTAAGCTTTTGGATAATAAGGTCACACAATTCAATATGGTATCAGAGTAGTCAAGAGGTCTTAGTTTCAAATATATAGTTAAGTATTCCCTTTGTTTAAATTTAGATGACACATCTCGCTTATCGAGACTCAATATGACTAAACTTTGAAGTTAAATTCGATTAATTCAACTCAATATTTTAAAATTAAAATTTAGATATTCAAAAACTATATGAAAAGTACTATAAGTTGCAATTTTTCTCATGATAAAAAAATATTTTAAAAAGTTGGTCAAACTTCATACAGTTTGACTCTCGATAATAGAAATGTCTCATCTGAATTGAAACGGAGAGAGTAATTTAAAGTATATTTTCTATAACAGCTTAGGTTTTTAGATGTGATAGTCGCCAGAAACAACAAATGAGATATATTCATTGATTTAACTAACCTAATATTCCCTTGACGGCCTCCATATATGTGTAATTCCTCGGGCCATTGACAGGATCTCCAGTTCTGTAGCATTGAGACAGAAGATTTGAAGTATATAGAATAACAAAAGCAAATAGGATCATTACAGTAGGTCCTGCTACCCAACCAAGTTGCCCTATTGCCCATGCTAATGAGAGGACTCCTGAACCAATAACAGCTGTGATTATATGTGATGTTGCAGTCCAAAAAGTTCCTGTATTACAAATTTTTATACTATCAGATCACCTGAAAGATAATTCACATGTTTGTCTATAATAAATGAGATTAGTAACCTGAAAACAATATCGTTGTAGCGCGTCTACGACTTCTTTTCTCTTGTTGCAAGGGAGCTTAAGGAGAAATCTCTTTTTGTTTTTTCCCACTAGATTGAAGCATATTTAACCATGGTTTGAAAATAGCTTTCCAATTTAATAGGAGTTGAAAGAATAAATTAATTTTGTAATTATTATAGTGCTTATTTCTGTTCTTGCTCTTTGGTGACTTGTGGTACCAAATGTAATTAAAAAGGCAGCCTGGTGCACAGGATATTTTGCGTTTAACGCAAGGTTCGCGGAAAGGCCGTACCCAAGGGTGTGATGTAGACAATGTATTCTAATGCAAACATTATTGGCTGTTTACATGCTCGAATTCGTGACCTATAAATAACACGGAGATAATTTTACCGTTGCTCCAAGCTCCACTTCAAAAGAGAGGTGCAACAAATTTAATTAATAATTATTTAAAGGCGTTTACCTGTTCTCTTTAAACGGCCATCATCATCAAAGCATTTGGAGTAGTTGGTTTGAAGGTTTGTTGGCTCAGTTTCCTTTTGATGTTTCGGTTGGATATCCACTTGGAAATAGTGTCTAACATCATGCCTTTCTTCTACCTAAGACATATTTTGAGAAGAAGAAAATTAATAAGATTGTTTCAGAAAAAGAAAGTTAAATTCTTAATTGCAAATTAATTAATTAAAGTTAACTACTCACTTCGCCATGGTATATTCTGGCAGGAAGAGTTCGACTCCTTGGCAACATATTTTTGGCCTAAACTGAGTATATAAATGATGAGATAATTGGTAAACTGATTTTCTTCTCTAAATTTAACAATTTTAGAGGACCCTTTACAGGTCTAAATGGAAGTGTGTGTGGCATTTTATAGAGGAGGATTGATGTTAATAATGAATCAGAGATGCAAAGGGGACAGAAACTTTATGGTATTGTGCAACTTTACTTTTTAAGTATTTGTAGGAAAATGATAAATAACACAATTACATTGCACGTATATCTTTAAGAGAAGATGTTTCGAATTAGAGGGAGTCGTGTCTTCGCCATAATTTGTCATGCTTACTATACAACAGGTGATCTGATAATGTAAAAAAAGTTATTTGCACTATATAAACGTAATCCCTTATTGGTATATAGTTTGTGGTTTAGATTATTTAATTCTTTGAGTTACTTGCTGCATTTTTTTTAACCTATGGTCAAGAGTCTTGCATATAAATAGAAAGAATAGTCGCCAAAAAAGCGTAAGCATTAGTATCGTTAAATATTATAGCTTTATCATTAATATAGCTCGTTCCATTAAGAAGAAATTAATCAATAATTTTCACTTATAGCATTATGATGAAATTAGTTACATCATGTGAGATAATGGGCATCAAACGAAAGTTGAATAAGATCACTATACTTCAGATAGCTCTGGGATTTCTTTTACTTTGCTTCTCCAATGCTAATCTTGTTATCTAATGTTACGGATTCGCAAGTTCGTTACATGATCATATTCTGAGACGCAGTCAAATTTCCAACTTTATCGGTTCTGAATTTTAAAATGATAATTTTAAGTGTTAATAGTGGGGTTCTAAATTTAATATTTACATATTTAATGAATTTAGTAATACAAATATTATTTGAACAAAAGTTATTGAATTTGGGCGAATCCGTAGCCGGACTTCTAGCTCAGTGATCATATTCCACGCACAACACATTTTGCACTACAAGGCTTATCACTTTTTCTTTCATAAAAAAGGAAACAACCAATGACCAATGTCATAATACACATGTTCTTTGCAAAGGCTAAATCCACTTTCACTACTGATGCATGTCCCATGTACTGTTTGTAGTCCATTATTGAAATAATTGGATTGTGGAAATTATTGAATTGTGTGACTTGATTCCCATATTTTAATGTAGGTCCAACGTACTAACATTACAGGTAGAGGCGGGCCAAGGATTTGAAAGTGATGGGGCACCATTGTCAAATAAAAATTTGAACAAATGTTGGAGCGCGAATCGAACTCAGACAGCGCACTAAAAGTCAAGTTGTGCTCCTCTCCTCTCCCACAAATCGACTAATATAATGCAATTGTATAAGCTTTAAGTCGAAGAATGACAATCAAAATATATACCTTTTATTTAAGATATATATATACATATATGTATATTTTTTTCGAAATTATCGTAGCCAATGACCCCTACCCTAAGGGTAGGTCCGCCTCTGGTTATAGGCTCAAGTTTTATCAATTACATACTAGTAATACAACTCACAACTAATATTATCTGCCTCAGTTTCAAACGAATTGTGATTGCTTATATGAATTTTCATTATGTTGTTTCGTCCATTTAAGAATCTTTTAATTCAATGTTAAAAAATATTTTCTCTAGCACTAAAAACTCTTTTTGAATTTTTTACTGATATAAAAATCTTTAACAACACGAAAAAACTCATTGCATATACATTGGATCCAAAGTAAGCAATTAATGGAATGACGAAAACGTAATCCTAACTAATTGACATTTACAAAGAGTCATTTCAATTATTGGAGTCAAGTAACAAAATCTGGTCAATACGTAAAGAGATGTGTTGTAAATATAATTACGTAAATAAAATATTCATTTTTAATACTTTAATTTTAAGATGATATAAGTCGCACAGTTTAAAAGGAAGATTTGAAGTTACCTAAACATTGCCTAATGGCTTCAATTGTCCTTTCGTTAATTATCAGTGAGCACTGTGAGAACACAAATCAATTGCTTCAAAGAAACTCATTTATATTTATTCTTATCTGATGATCAGCATAATATCTTCTCACTACAAAAAATAAGAATTAGCTGCAAGAATCTGTCGCTAATCTGCTCATAGCTTATAAGATTTTTTGATAATCCGTCACTAATCCATCTGTAGATATCAAGATTTTGCTAGATCAAGACTCCAAATACATGTAGGATAGATCATTAAATTGGGCACTGATCACGCCCAACTCTAGTCTTAAAAAGGATAAGCGGTCGCTGCAAATATATAATCCAATTCAGACCGGAGTCGAATCCCACAGGGAACTAACCTATTTACTACAACTTTTAACACTGCGAAGGAATAGCTCAAACAATCCCCGGATGCAAGATTTTTTTAATGGATAATGAGTAGAAATTAGTTAACTAAGGAAAATTAATACTCCAATAATCAAGAATAGAGTTGAATTCAATGGTAAAATGGTCTAGGGTTATTGATTGAGCAAACTTCATTTGTAGCCATCCGGAGAAAACTAATGACAATTAGTAGCCGCAAAATAAATCATACAATTAATAGCCAAAACTAATTACAAGGGCTAGCCCAAAACCACTTCCGCTCTTCCCCCTTCAAATTTCAGACTTTTCAACTCCGTAATCTACTTTAATCCATACCTTTCCGTTACTCTGCCACCTACTTACAGAAATTCGAGTAAATTGGTTGGGAATTTTCAAACACCCCCTTTTGTTTTACAGTTCCGTTAGCTGCCGGTATTGATTTAAAAATGAGTTCTTTTCCCACCTGCCATTTGAAAGCTACTCATATCTTGTTTTATTTTTTATCGCTACTTACTTGTTGTTCACTTTCGTAAATTGCAGTTCACAAAATTGTGGAGAACTTTTCATTACGGAGCAATGACAAGTTTCTTTAATGTGATTATGATATTTCAAATAATCCTGTGTTAGGCTTTTTGGTTCGGCAATTAAAATATGACCTTTTTTATTTGCTTTTATCTTGAATTCTGATGGATCCGCTATATACTCACATCTGAAGGTGTTGATTCTACCAGTCAGGTGACAAACTTGACCTTACTGACTACCAGTAAAAGCTTTTCAACATGAATTTTTTTACAAGTGAAAATGGTCAAATTTATCCTAGAACTATGCAAAGTGATTTCACATTTTGCTATGAAAATCCAATAACAAAATAAGTAACTCACTTAAATTAAGTTTGGAATAACAAGTCGATTGCATATAAATTGTATAGTGACAGTCTATTTTGTAAAATTTTGTATAGTAATAGTCTATTTTATATTTATTTTGTAAGAGTGGCAGTGAATTTTTTTTAAGTGTCAGTATACAAAATATATACACAAAAATAGACTGTCACTATACAAAAATATACTAAATAGACTGTCACTATACAATTTATATACAATAGACTATCACTATACAAAATATATACAAAATAGACTGTCACTATACAAAAAATTATACAAAATAGATTGTCACTATACAAAAAAATACACAAATAGACTGTCAAATACAAAAAAAATATACAAAATAGACCGTCACTATACAAAAAATATACAAAATAGATGTAACTATACAAAATATATACAAAAAAGACACGATACAAAATACATTTGGGGTACACAAATATATACACTTTAGATACACAAGCACACTCGAGATAGGCTCAATATACACTAAGGATACACTGTCGAACTTAGGATACAATATTTATACATTGCAAAAAAGGATTGCTCTATCACGCCAGGCAGGGGTCGAACCTACGACCTTCAGCTTAGGAAACAAGCACTCTATCCACTGAGCTACAGGCGCTTATGTTGTCATACTCATTCCTTTCGGCTACTATATGCAATACTTTTGGGCCGAAGGGCCATTTTTTGTAAGTAGGACAAAACATGGGCTATTAAAATTTTGAGGGCTATAGAGGGTAGTTTACTCTTATTGATTTCCCCAATTGTCGGATTAATTCCTGCCACGTTAGCTACAATCTCGCCGTAATACTCTATAAGAAACATGAGTTCTCTGTTACCGCAATTATCTCTCGATCAATTACGATAATTTACTAGAAGCATTCTCTCAAAACTCTCTAAGTTGACAATTTATGCAACTCAGAATTATCCCACCAAAGCTTCGTTATCTCTAACACTGCTTTTAAATTCAAGTAATTAATCTCTAGTTT